CATGCTGTCAGAGACACTATCAGTGGACGGTATGGGCGGGGCTCAGTCTGGTGATCTATATATTTAAGTCTATGGTGGGATCAGACCTCGACCTGATAACCTACGTGTGTGGGCAGGTAGATGTCGTAGACCGCACCGGAGTCCACGTCCACAGCRTGGAAGCCTGAGGAGGAGCCGTAGATGACCTTTAACCTTTGGCCCTCTTCTACTGTCAGGTCCACCAGCAGAGGTTTGTGCACCAGGTCACCGAAAGACTGAGGTAAAAAGAAAAACTGGTTGTTTAAGTGGAAACAGAACACGCGTTGTACTCTTTAACAAGTCTGCGCCTGATTACTTTGAACGCCATGAACTTGTGGTAGGGTTTTGGCGCCCAGGCATAAACCTCCACAGAGCTCTTCAAGGCCAGGACCAAGAATTTTATCCTCTCGTACTTGACTAAAAGARAGAAATGAAGTGGTTTGTGGTCTTACTTGGACGAATCTGAGAATGTCAAGACACACGAGAGAGAACGCACCAACTTTATAGTGGACACAACCCTCCAGGTCGCCCACGTTGACCCAGCCCTGCTTCTTCTCCACCTCCGGGTCGTTGTGCAAAATCTTGTTTCTGAGCCACGACAGGTAATACACTCGCAGCTTGTTCTTTTTACCTGCGGGAGGAGTGTCAAATAAATTATATATTTATTAAAGCTGTTACACAGCTGAGATAAATGAGGAAACTAATAAATCAAGAAGTGGTCCGCACCTGATATGGTGACCAGGACGTTGAGTCCCTCCAGAACGTCCATCTGCTGGATGCGCCGTCGGCTGATCAGGGGGTAGACCTTCCCCTGACCGCTTCGGTCCAGCAGCATCAGACCGCTTTCTGTCCCCACCAACAGATTCACTCCTGACGGCAGCAGGACAGCAAAAATAAATAAAACACACACCCAGACAAGTCCAATAAACTTCTTGTGCTTTAAAWAAATAAATAAATATATAAATAAACTAGAGAAAATGCATTTCCTGTGAAAATGCTAGTGTGAATGCTTCTTGCTCAAAAACATTTGGTTCAAAGCTTCTGAAATTAAGCTGAAAATATTTAATGGCAATAGTGTTATTGTGGGTTCATTTAAAAAAGCTAAAAGAGGGGAAATATCTTAACTTTGCAGAAAAACAGAGCAAAAATATAGCTGAAATAGTAGAAAAAAGCTAAAAGTTAAAATTGCTGTAAACGGAGAAAGCAACTGTGAGAAACATATAGCTCAAATTAGCAGAAAGAAGCAYAAAAAGTAGAAATTAGCAGAAGAATAGCAGAATTATAGCAGAAAAAAGCTATATTTAGCAAAGAAGTAGCTAGAATAAGCACATGGTACMTAAAATGAGCAGAACCAGAACAAAATGTGTAAGGTTCTGTAAAGATTTAGAAAYATTTTAAAGGATTTTAAGCATGTTGAAAACAGACCCATTCATTTTCAAAAGCAAAAAAGTGGCTAAAAAAGTTAAATAGCTGAAAAAGTAAAAATAGCTGAAATCCCAAAAGTCATAGCAGGATTGTCACAATTGAACGTTTTGATGTATGAAATGTTGAAATAGCACAAAAACTGTGGAACGAGTTAGATGCTGAACAATGTACGGAATAAAAAATGATCAATAGTGTGACTAAAAACACACCCACCCCACAGCGCTGCACAYAGGATCTCAGAGTTGAACCTCTTCTTGTACTTGCGGATCTCGGGCGTGTCGCTGGGCGGGCGCGTGTTCACGGGGTTGACGTTGACCACGGAACCTTTACGGGAGGGGTCGGACCTGAGCGGGTCCGCGAGCCGTCCTTCCTGCCCRAACGCTGCTGGAGGTGGGAAGAGAAGCAGCTGTTTGTTGTAAAACTCCTCCCTAAAGGCTGCAGCTAACTGAAAACAGTCAGCGACGTCACCGTACCCATGTTGTTGAGGGAGCTGCCGCTGGATGGAGAGATCTGGAGAAGACGGGGGTCGATGAAGGGAGTAAACGATGAGGAAGACTTGTGTTTGGACATGGAGTTGCTCTCTGACTGCGACTGTAAAGACACGCCACATTAGGAAAACTACGGTTTCTTTTTAAATCAAGCAGCACATGTTAAACCTTTGATTTTTTTTTTGCGCAGTTCAATTAAAAACACATGAAAACAGAAAGAGGACGTGCAGTCAGGTTAGTTCTTTGGAAGCTGGAGAGGAGAAACATGTTAGGAAGTTTTAAAAGTGTGCGACAAGAAGAAAAGCTCCAAACGGGCTGCAGTGAGCTGTTAGCAGGAACAACACACTCAGATTATTGCAGAGATGGAAGAGAGTGTTCAGTTCACCACACAGGACTGGATTTGTGATTGTTTATGCCACCACCCAACTCTGCTACAGTTAGTGTTTAGCTTCCTCCCTGCCCCGACCTCATTCCACCACCAGGAGGCGCCGGTGTTAGCGGCGGAGCGGAGGGAGGGACAGGAAAAGGGGTTTCAGCAGCTGAGAAGATAATAACCAGGTGTCAGCCGAGCCAGAAGGGGGCAGAGGAGAGCAGGAGTGAAGCCAGGAGGATGAAGGGGAGGGGGAKGCTCAGACCAACGGTCAACAACTGCACAGCTGCTTTGTTCAGACTTAGAGGGAAAACATTGGTTTTTAACCAGCTCTTTATGAACATTTAGTCACCGTTAATAATAAGTCTGAACAACTCAGCCGTCTGCTCTTGTTGGTTGGCCTCAGTGGTGTGGGGCTGACATACCTCCATGGGACTGAGCTCGTCCAAAGGGATCTGTGAGGACAAGGCCAGACTGGGCTGGCTAGATGATGAGGGGAAGGAGTAAGAGGAGGAAGAGTTGGTGATGGAGGAGAGGATGGCTGTGGAGGAGGACGGGGAGTGATGGCTCTGTTGGATGAGGTCTGGCAGGTGGTGTATGAAGCCAGAGAGGCCGTTTTTCTCCGGGAGGCCGTGAGCAGAAGCGGGCGAGGAGAGACTGACCAACCGCTTTATGTCAGCTGTGCTCTGGAAGCAAGAACAGGCACATGTGGGCTCGAGCAGGACCAGCTGCACACCTCATTCTCCCCACATTTCATACAAATACAAACATCAAATGCAGCGTATTCGTTTTTCAAAACCAGCGCTGCTGCTTTAAGGAAAGCTAAAATAATCTTACAGATTAGATTACCCATCTGGGAAGCTGAAACGCTGATGAAATGTCATGATTACGTGCMGCAAAACAGAAACAACAACAAAGAATGAGCAACAAGATCCTGATATGTGACTGGGAAAATTATTATATATTTTTTGCAAATTAAACCCAAGCAGAATATTGCTTTAAAGGCTCAGATCTGAAGGGAGGTTCACTGGAAAAGTTATGAACAGTTAATATCCTACCTGCAGTGGTTGGCACAGTTCTGTTAATCCTAATAACAGCTAATAACAAAGTCAACTTTTTGTTTAGCAAACTCTGGAAACTGTTAGTGGACCAATTAGCTTCCGCTAAATGTAGTTCTGCTAACGTTAAGTACACTAAAGAAAACAACTAGCATGTAGCTTTGTTAGCATTTTGTGTGTCCTCCTGCGTTAGTCTTCAGCTGGAAGAAGACAATGACGTGAGATAAGAATGACAGTCGCCTTCATCCCACTCACATCCTTTTGATATGCTCAGAAAGGCTGATTCTGCCTGGGGAAAATGCCTCAAAGCACTCTGGGACATGTAGTTACTCAGTTAATACAGTGACATATTCTGATGTTTCTGCTCCTGGTTCAGTACATCCTGCTCGGATTGTGATGAAACTTACAGCTTTGGAACCTATGAGGTATCTGCTTTCAGCAGACATATCGGCTGTGTGTGTGTGTGTGTGTGTGTGTGTGTGTGTGTGTGTGTGTGTGTGTGTGTGTGT